AATTATTTTCGTGTAACAATTATGATAAATGGTAATTGTAAAAAAATTTAATTGCAATTAATTTTTCGGTACCCCTGTTATAATTCCATTCCCACTTACAACATATACCGATACGTATTATTTTTTAATTTAATAATTTAGGGTTTGTGCACTTTAACGTTTTTGGTTGGCCATATCTAAAAAAGGGAAAAACTTACAAATAAGATGATTAAATTATGATGATTACCATTTCAAATCTGTAATTATTGCGACATTTTAATCGCAATGTTGTCATTGTTATGTAATCGATCTATGAACTTATAAACTAATAAACAATGTGACAGGTTAAAATGAAACCTTGAAGTTTGTATGGTTTAAATAGACAAACTACTGAAAAAAATTTGCATTTTTTAAGGTTAGGTCGGTAGAATTTATGATAACGACAAATAATTCCAAATACATCATAATTAAATGAAATTTGAGATTGTTATATAATGGTTATATATATTTGCAATATATTATCTAAATATATATATATATTTGCAATATATAATATAAATATATATATATAATTACAATTTATTACTCGTGACGCCCTTTGTCGGTCGATTCAAAGGATCATTCTGGTTACGTTCTTACCTATCAAATTTACCCTCTTTAAATTGGTATTTTTGTTTTAACTTTTTCGCTTTATCGTTAATCTGATCATTGTGATCTATACAGAATGATAATTTCTAAATGCGCACTGGTTTGCACTTAAAGAATATATTGTAATCAGATTTTTTATATGAACTTTTTGTGACCATAACATAGCAAAGCAAGCGTGCATTTAAAATATTATATTTATCTATTATAATTAACGCGAAATTCAGGGCATCTTATTTATTTCTTGTTTAAAATCACATTTGTTTCTGCGTTATTAATTAATGGGGACACTTTAAGAACAGTTAACCCAGTGGTCGACAATCATTTGATAAACATATCTGACGTCATTCGTTTACCAGAATTAAATAAACTGGCCTAAACTATGCTTCTAAACTAACCCTAAACTAACCCTAACGCTAACCTACTTTGCAAAAATCTGTCAAAATTGAACTAGCTAAAACTAAGCAATTTAACGGTGCTGATAATGTACTATTAAAATACAAACTTTTGCAAATCTAAGCACTTTATTAGCATTTTACCATCATAATTTAATTTTATAAATATATTTGTCAATTATTATGCCAATAAAATGCTAATATTAGCAACATTATTTAACCAATTTATTAAGTAGTTAAAAGTGCTGATAATGAAATAATCTTGTGATAAATTATTAAAATAGCTAACTTAGTACTAATAATGCACTTTATATTGCTTATTATTGGCAAATAATTGCATATCTCGAAATTGACAGATTTTTGAAAAGTATTTACACCTAACCCTAACGATGAAAGGCTTCGATAGAGGCGTGGTAAGATTCAATAATTAGGATTACGAAAGTTAGAGCTCTAGATTACGTCACGAGACTCTACTCGGGTTAGAGCGAGGATCTTTAGGTCCTTCGAATATTGACCCGGAATTGTAAAATTTGTACCACGCCCATCACCACAGCACACTTCGGAGCTTTCACAAACTGTACAATCCAAATATGGATCTTAAAAAACGCCAAACATAATATAAAAGCCACAAAAGTTTAATATAACTTTCTCTAAGTGCAACTTGTAAAGACCAGACTTTTGGCAATATGCATTTAAAGATGTTGCATTTAAAGTGTGTAGACTGTAGTTTGCAAAACTAACTTCCAATTATAAAGATATTTTCTATCCATTAAGAAAAAAAAAATCAATACGAAAGAATAAAATTACGTGCGGGCAGTACATAGCTCTTAATTATATCAGTTATTTATTTAATATAATTAGAAGTAATGTCATTCCTTACAAAGCCAGCGCTATATATTGTTTGCACAATATGGGCACTATTTTTCATAATACACGCAGTTGAAACAAATCTCACGTTAGAATTGATGAATGAGCTTAAAATCAAGCCCACAAATCTTCTAGAATGAAAAAAAAAGGCATTACTTAACAGGTTATTTAAATAAAAATCAGAAAGTGAAAATATATATAATATCAGGACAATGGTATGGTCGAATGGTATGCACCGTCTCAAATATAATCATGACGGAACCTTAATGAATTGTGATATATCTTGTATTTGGGATATGACTGATTTAGGTGATTTAACTTCTGAAGAGCTTAGAACGGCTGATGGTTTATTTTGTGTAGATGAGCCAATACTACCAGAGGCGAAATCATGGAAAGGACAAAAGTTTATACAATTAACAACCGAACCTTACGTTACTTGTCCGTCATGTATTAACAATATAGAAAGATGGGATTTTCGATCAACATGTGATGAAAATTCAGATGTGCCCACAAGTTACATTCGATCAGATCCTGATGAATGGCGAGCAAAAGAACCTTTTAATTTAGAAAATCTCAACAAAAACTCAACAGTTGTTTCCTTCATTGCTTCACACTGGACTGATTTCCGTGAAGAATGGGTTCCAAAGCTTCAAGCTCACATTCCTGTTGATCTTTTGGTGAAGTTCACCATAATACTGATTGGGATATTCATCCTGAATGTGCTACTTTAGAGAGAAATACCATGGAACATTATGAAGATTTTAATGCAAAGAATTGTATTATCTCAAAATATCCTTTTTATATGGCTATTGAAAATTCACAAGAAAAAGATTATTCTTCCGAAAAAGGGGTAGTGCCTATTATATGGGTGCACCTAATATTTGCTCGTACGTACCTAAATCGGCCATTTTTATTGAAGTTTATCCAAATGTTGAAGATCTTGCAAATTATTTAAAATACTTGGTTAAAATAAGACAGCCTATTTAGAATATCATCAGTGGCGGACCATGAAGGTTTTGTCAGAAGGATTTGAGAGGAAGGTTTATGTCGCATAGTTGCAGAACAGCCCTTGTACTTGGTTCGGGGCATGTTAGCCGAAGTAGGGGTTAGTAAAGCGATGCGTAATTGCGAAATGTCACGGGTTACACGTGATGAAATCGGGGTTAATTATGATGTAGGGGCCAGATCGGGATCGGGTTTGCCATTATGGCGTGATTATTATTGATATTATGACGAGATAATTAATGCAGATTAATTATCTTTATTAATGTCAAGCGTGCATTAAAGTCACGATTCAATTAAAAATTCTAAAATTAGCATCGCATGAACAATGTAGTAATTAGCGATTAGAATTGTATTTATTGCTTGAATAATGTGTAACTAGCGATTAGTAATAGAATTAATTGCATAAAGAATGTAGTAATCAATAAAGAAAAGAAATAAAATATATAAGGCTTCGATCAAAAGAAGAGGGAAGCCTAACTTTTCGCTCCGGAAATTCCTATTAGTATTCTTAGTGAATAAACTGTGACTTGTGCGAACACATTGCTGGTGGTAGTATCTGGCACGATACACCAGTCATCGCAAACCAGCCAAGCGAGTAAAGTTTATAGTAAAGACCCACAAGAACACGTAGTGTTAAGAAACTACGTGACACAAAGGACCTGGGCAAAAGAAAGGTCCTCTTGCTCTAGTAAGAAAGGAATTCGGCGAAAGTTAATATAGGATCAGTTGTTAATAAGCGAAATAAAGTGAACGTTCAAGAGATACTTAGTATGGCAGCCACGGACTTTACGAAGCCATTTTATCATGGTCACGAAAATGAGGATGTTGAGGATTTTCTATTTGACTTTGAAATGTACGCCGAGTCGAAGGAATGGGAGGATGATCGGAAAATGAAAGTAGTAGGACTTCATGTTGCCGAAAGTGTGAGACCTTGGGTTCGTGAGTTGATGAAGACGGCCACTACTTGGAAGAACCTGAAAGATGAAATTACAAATGGCGTGAAAACTAAATATAATACAGAAGAAAAGATTGCAAGACTGATGAGGATAAAGCAGCATGAAAAGGAGTCGATTACCGGGTACACTAATCGTTTTAAGTCATATGCCGATACGTTAGGAACTAGTGTAAGGGCGAGAGAAAAGCGTAAGTGGTACATTGCTGGGTTGAGAGATGAATATAGAGAAAGTGTGAATGCCAAATTCCCAGCTGATTTCGACGAAGCCAAAGATTGGGCAATAAAGGTTGAAGGATATAATAAGGATAACGAATATGAAACGCAGAAGGCTACAAAAATATTATTCGACGAACCTGCTAAATTGGGTGGAGATGGAATTGACGATTTAACTGCGGCATTTGGGGGTTTAAAAATTAACCGTGTTAATAAGAAACATGAAGAAGACTTGCAAGAAGTGAAAAGTGTTGTAAAAGAGTTAACAAAGCTCGTAAAATACTTGACCAGCAAGGTAGATACCCCACGTCGTAATGAGCAAAATCGTAGGTCAAGTCGTTGCTACAATTGTCAAAAAGAAGGTCACATGGCCTGAAATTGTTCGGAAAGTCCCCAAAGAGAACATAGAAGGAACCAAATGGTTAATCCTGCACAAGAGAATGTTGAGAATCGAAATATAATACAGCCGGATGTTCGATTTCTTGAGTTTACAGAAGAAGAAACATGTGATGGAAAGGATTACTTAGAAGTTGAATTGTTGGAAAGTGTGAATAGTCATGTGGACGACAATAAACATATAAGAAATTTGGGGAAGAGAAAAACAAATGAAACAACTTATCAAATACCTGCAAAAAGGTCGAGGCAGTTAAGGTCGTCTGAGAAAGATAATGATTCACCAAAGTTGGATTCAGGAGTCAAGCAAAGTGACAAGGTTATGTATATACCTTTGTCAGAATTGTCAGGTGACCTGGACATTATAAGAAAGGTAGCTAACCTGGAGATTGTAATAAGCCTCGGACAATTGTTTAAGTGGTCACCTAAAGCTCGTGTAGAAATTATGAAGGCATTAACTCGTAAGTGGAAAGGTAAGATGCTACGCAATTAGATGCTAAGATACGAATTGTGCATGGAAGTCTTACCAAGTCCATGGGAAATAATGAAGTTGTACCATTACGAGTAGCAATGATCAATAATGAAGCAGTTGAAGTGCCCATTGATTCTGAGTCTAGATTAAACTTAATGCATGTTAAATATGCGAGAAGTAGAGGACTAGTGTGGCAGAAAGCAAGCAGAAAAGGTAGAATGGCTGATGATCGGTTAAGTGAATTTGGTGGATACATACCCCAAGTAAAAGTAGAAATGGAGGGTGTTACTGTGTGTCAAGGGTTCTATGTCATGGAGACAGCAAGCTTCGACGTGCTGTTAGGGATGCCTTGGATAGCTAGTGCACGTTGTAACCTACAATGGAGGGATAATGAATATTGGTATACTGTGTCGTCACAGAGTAAAGAAGCATCATTTGTTGTATCAGTAGTACCACGAAGTTGGTTAGGCAAAGAAATATTAGAAGAGGAAGGTGATTTCGACGATGAATATGAGGAATTGGGCAATATTATCGCAGTACGAAGTGTAAATGTTAGTAGTAATGAAATGAAAAGTTTCGAAGAAAACATTGAGCAAAGATTAAAACATGGAAATAAAAGTAAGAATTGGGAAAGTAAATTTCCATTCTGAAGGCTCACTGAAGAAAATTGGATGAAGGTTAACATCAGAGCAAACTTGGGTGAAGAAAAGCGAAAGTTGATCGCAATGCAATTGATACAAGAGATACCTAAAGTTTTTGCCTTTGAGTTATCAGAACTCGGCAGAACTAAACTTGTTGAGTACAGTGTGAGAACTGATGGAGTAGAGATACCGCCAAAAAGACAAAGGCCAATACGAATAAACAATCCTGCGAAAGCAAAACTATTTGAGAAACACCTCAAAGACATAATGAAACATGGTTTATTGGAAGAATGTAACAGGCCGTACGCTTATCATTGCTTTCCTGTTGACAAGAAAGAAGGGGGCACAGATAAAATAAGGGCAGTGGGTAACATGAAACCGCTAAACAAATATATGATTAAAGATAGTTACCCACTCCCAATAATTCGCGATATCTTGGAAGAAGCTGCCGGTCATAGTTGGTATTCGAGTGTGGATGTTTTTAAAGGGTATTGGCAAATTGCCATACGTGAAGAAAATAGAGATAAGATTGACGTGTCAACCACATTAGGAATTTTACGGTACACAGTTATGTGTATGGGTCTCAAAAATGCTAGTGAGACCTTTCAAAGATTGATGGATCTAATATTGAGAAAGGATGAATGGAAAGGAAAGTATTAGCTTACCAAGATGACATAGGTCTTTGGACCGATGGTGATCTTGATGATCATGTCGAAGAGTTTGTTAAATTGGCAAAAGTATTCCGTAAGGCAGAACTAACGTTTGCGGCCAAAAAATGTTTTGTAGCACATAAGGAATTGAATATGTTTGGATATGTGGTTAGTAAATTGGGAATTAGAGTTAATCCTGAAAGGATAAAGAAAATAAAAGAATGGGTCAAACCTCGAAGTGTGAAAGAAATAAGGTCATTTCATGGGATGATTGGATACTATAGATGCTTTATAAAGAACTTTAGCGAAATAGCTAGGCCACTAACTGATCAAATGAAAAGAGATGTTAAATTTCATTGGGCCTTAAAGAGAAAGAGTCATTTGACAAGCTCAAGGCACTACTAATGGACAATGTAATGTTAAAGGCAAAAATAGGAGAGCGACCATATCAATTATGCACTGACGCCTGTGAGGTGTCTGTTGGTGCTGTTTTGGAACAAGTAGACGAAGAAGGAAGGATAAGGCCAGTATTATTTGACTCGCGTAAGTTAAACCAACATGAAATTCACTATACTGTGACAGAGAAGGAATGTCTTGCGATAGTTTATGGTTGTCGAGTTGGAGAACGATATGTAGGAGGTACTACGTTTAATATAATAGTTGATCATCAAGCCTTAGTATGGCTTTTTAATAAAGCCGAATAAAAAGGAAGGCTTATGCGTTGGGTGCTGGCTTTACAAGCCTTTGACTTTAAAGTCATGTACAAGCCGGGCAAGAAGCATAGTAATGCGAATGGAATTTCTCGATATCCAATCGATCAATTGAATAATGACAACCAAGATGAAGAATTTATTGAAGGAATTATAATGAATGTGAAAATGATGAACCAAAAGGAAGCTGATTTGGTAACAATAGAGCAATATTTAAAGACCTTTTGGTAGCCGCATAATATTAATAAGTTAGACTTGCTGTGGTACGAGTTAAATTAAAACTTTATTGTGTGATTAATGATCGACTATTTAAAAGAGGCAAAAATGGAGCTCCACCGAAACATGTGATATTTGATAATGCTAAAAAGGCATTAATTATGAAGGCAAATCATCGTGGTCTCACTCAAGAAGAAGGGCATCGAGGCATAAACGCCACAGCAAGAAAAATATTGATGATTTATTGATGGGCAAGTGGTAATGTGTTTAATGACGTGAAGAAATTTGTAGCATCATGTCTGGAGTGCCAAAAATGTGCTTCGAAAAATGTGAAGCAACCAGTTTATGTTACATCAACAAGTTTAATATTCCACAAATTATTCATTGATTGTTTGGGTCCTTTGCCAAGAACCTGCGGAGGACATGAGTACGTTGTATTAGCGGTAGAGGAACTTACCGGTTACGTCGAAGGCCGTGCTTTGAAAAGAAAAACTGCTGAGTCTATTGCACAGTTTCTTTGGGAAGATGTGATAACAAGACATGGGTGTTTTGCCGTTTTAGTGTCAGACAGAGGAAAAGAATTCAAAAATACCTTAGTGTCTGAATTAAGTACTTGTCTCAATATTAATCAAAAGTTTGTCGCAAGCTATCATCTAGAGGCAAATGGAAGAGCTGAAAGAACCGTGCAGAAGTTCACACGTATAATCTGAAAGATCTGTGCTGAAAAGCAAAATAGATGGCATAAATATGTTCGAAGTGCTATCTGGGCAATAAATATTACAGTAAATGACCTTGGATATTCACCGTTTCGCTTGTGTATGGTCGGGATGCAATAACTTCCATACAGCTAATGATTGAGAGCTACCAGGTATATATGGCAAAGGGTAAGTGGACTACTGAAGAATTATTAGAAAATCGCACAGACCAAATTAAAGGAATGGTTAATGAATTAAAAAGGGCACAGATAGAAAAGGACGAGATATGTGCAGAGTGGAAAAAAATTCATGATCGGCATGCGAAGCCTGTTAACGAAATATATCAAGAAGGTGATTTGGTTCTTGTGTATAATTCAACGTTGGAGACTAGCTCGTATAAATTGAATTATCGTTAGATGGGACCTTATGTTGTGCGTGGAATAGGAAATTTTGGACAGATATACGTAAATGAGTTGGATGGAACGGAAATAAAAGATCTGCTAACAAGAAATCATGTTAAGAAATTGAAGCAAAGAAATGATCGTGGGCCAGAAGAAAACGAAAGTAATCTCGGGGACCGAGATAGATGGGGGTCTAGCTTGTGTCGCATAGTTGCAGAACAGCCCTTGTACTTGGTTTGGGGCATGTTAGCCGAAGTAGGTTTAGTAAAGCGATGCGTAATTACGAAATGTCACAGGTTACACATGATGAAATTGGGGTTAATTATGATGTAGGGGCCAGATCGGGATTGGGTTTGCCATTATGGCGTGATTATTATTAATATTATGATGAGATAATTAATGCAGATTAATTATCTTTATTAATGTCAAGCGTGCATTAAAGTCACGATTCAATTAAAAATTCTAAAATTAGCATCGCATGAACAATGTAGTAATATTGTATTTATTGCTTGAATAATGTGTAATTAGCGATTAGTAATAGAATTAATTGCATAAAGAATGTAGTAATCAATAAAGAAAAGAAATAAAATATATAAAGCTTCGATCAAAAGAAGAGGGAAGCCTAACTTTTCACTCCGGAAATTCCTATTAGTATTCTTAGTGAATAAACTGTGACTTGTGCGAACACATTGCTAGTGGCAGTATCTGGCACAATACACCAGTCATCGCAAACCAGCCAAGCAAGTAAAGTTTATAGTAAAGACCCACAAGAACACGTAGTGTTAAGAAACTACCTGACAGTTTATATGAGCATTATTAATATGGAATGCAATATTTGCAAAGAAGTTGCTAGATTGAGAATTATAGAAGGAAGAGTTTAATTTTTTTTTTTTTTTTTTTTAACTTTGGCGTATCTTGCCAGGTATTTATTTTAGTAATTAATTCATATGTACAAATGATGCTAGCTAACTAACATATATGGTAAGTGATAAACTCTAAGCCTGTCGGCAAATAGCATATGAGAACTATTTCTAAATGACAGGTGCCTATACCATAGAACTAATGATTACTGAAACACCTGACCCCACCTGGTTGCTTTACTAAGCCCTAGATGTGATAGCTGCACCACTTAATTGTGGAACTGCACCAAACCTCAACATTGAAGCTGGTAACTAACTTTTTGATAGGGTATATGTCCCACCCATGTATTCACCCAGGCTTCGGTAACCTATCACCACAGCTTGACCTATGTACTTGGGGTCAGGGCTAACCATTGAACCCTTATCTAACTAGTACTAATTATGCCGCCGAACCAAGTTCGTATCTCAAGCCACCCCTAAGGGTGTTGCTGCTACCCAATCTGACAACTACAACCTTCCTAATTAGACTGTTACCTACTTTTGCCCTTGTATAGATTCACAACAATTCTGGTATCTGTAATTAGACCATCTTCTTACCCGGATTCTTTATCGGTCCCTCCCTTACTTCCAGCCAGCAACTTGGAAAGGTTGGTCTGCCCAGGCTTTAGATGCCTGAAGGATGCCCTCCCCTTGGTACATACTTTTGGAGCGTATGTCCTTTTCCTCCGGTGCGACAACCTGGCAGTTCGGCTGGTGTGTCCTCCACTATTAGGACCTGGTTGCTCGGTTTTCTGATCTCAGGCCCCGGTTCGAATTCAGCCCTCTTGTGATACCATTGTAGATCACTGCTACTCCTAACTCGGAACTTCCCAAATAGGTTTTCGGTTATGCCGGTTTCTCAGATTTATTGCGCCATTGCTTCCATTACTAAATGATATGACTGAAGTTACAAATTAGATCCAACCGATAAGCATAGCTGTTAACCAAACACAAGCCCAATTTTTGAAAATTATCGTTCATGGGATTCGAACTCTAGACCTGCCACTCGGTCGCCACACCTCTAAGGAAGAGTTTAATTAATTACTGCGTTTTACAATTTTTAAAACTTATATTAGTTGATTTATTGTTCATTGAATTAGCCAGCATATTTTATCTAGTTAATACATATTAAATTATCCGGGTTATTAATATCTTCAATTATCCAAGTAAATTAGAGTATGTGACATCATTTAATAAAAGCACTAATTAACTTTTTTAAAATAAAAGATTTGTCTTTTCTTTCAGTATAAACACGAAATTATATTTTATTTGATATCAAAATTATTAATTGCAGCTGATGGTAACTTAATTACGATACAATATCTGAATTAGTGATGAAGAGAAATTATTGTGAGAATAATTCAATAATTATCTTTTAACTTCACAATATTGAGAAATTAGTAACTACAATTTATTAGATATCAACTAGCCAATAATT